AAACTGTACCTAAAACGGAGCAGCTACTTAAAACAACGTACAAAGAAAGATTCCCGAGCACCTCCTTTGAACAGATGCTCCGTTTCCATTCGCAGTCCCGTAGATAAAACATACATTGGCAAACTCCACGCTCGTGCAGTGATGCGTACCACTAGAAAACCGTACGAGGAGTAACAATGTACGCCAGCAGTACTTTTAACTACTGCTTCAACAGCAGCCCGTAACCCCTCAATGAAAAGTTTCGGTTCGCATATTCCATTACAAAATTTGCTTATTTCAGTCCGTCTACCTGCCCTATTTTAAATCACCAGTTTAGTATCACTACATGTATAATATAAAGTTCAATAAACGATCAACTTCAATCGTTGTTTGATAACAATGTGTTCCTGTCACATTTTCCTTACATATATATTTTTGTGGCAATTACAGAAAAAATATTTTAGTTCATATTTAAGGACTCCTGTTGCTTCAATATGCATTTACTAGTTTGTATCTACAATTTTCTTTAGTGGAAACTTGGAAGAAAAATTCTTCAAAGCATCCATCTATCTGCAGTTGATGATGACAATATATAATAATAATATACACATTAAATAAAATTATACAGCAGCTGAAATATACCAAAAAATAGAGCGAAAAAAGAAAAAAAAAATGGATATTACCCTGTTACATTTAGTTTAATTTCTTACTTAAGTAACTTCTTTACTTACTTCTTACTTTACTAAACTAACTTCAAAATGAGGTATGAACGTGGGTTAAATCCAGCGATTTGCAATCATCCAGAGTTAGACATTTTGGCACTCTGTGCAGTATTTGCAGCTTCATTATAATATTAACATCGCTATAAGCGGTTTCGACCACGTAACTCATTTAAATTTCCAAAATTAACACGTTCTGCAACTATTTTCTAGTTTAAGTTTTGAATTATTAATCCCAAGAAGTATGCATTTATTTTTAGAATGTTTAATTAATAATCGAAGAAAAGGGCCTGATTACTTTTCAGGACACAAGGTCCAAGCTTCAGCCCATGTTTCAGAGAGACCCAAATTCATCATGATTCTGCCTTTTTGTCTCGGAAAAAAAAAGAAAGTGACCCTGAAGTGAAGTGGGGGATCCTGGATGCACGCTGTACTTAGGACTGAGTTAACCGGGCTCCGTGAACAGTAACTGACATTTATTCTGGCTGATCCAAAGCAAAAGCCAAGTTGTCATTTGCGTTACACCTTCCTTAATTAAAGATAGTAATATACAAATGTTCGGCATTTGGTTTTTAAAAAAATACAAGAATTTACTTACGAAAATATTTTTTGTGTCCATCATATCATTTACAGTTTTGAAAAATTATTAATTACTATTCTGAGTGTCTTTACATAGCTGGTTTCAGCTTGACTGACTGAAGAGTGAAAAGTACACTAAATTCGTATATGTTTCTCTACTGCAAAAGCTGACGGAATAAGTGGGGAAGGGGGGGAAAGGACCATGCGGAAAGCAAGTACAAACGTGGAAAGCTGTGATTTACGCTTAGAAACTTGTGGAATAAAAGTCTGGAGATGGGTCATCTGTAAGGAAAATGCTTTGGCTCCACTAGCGAAGCATGTTTGTTGACTTTACACTGAACAGCCTTCTGGAAGCGAATTTATACTGTTTATGAAGGCTAAGTTGAGGGTCACATCCTGTCTGTTACACAGACAGGATATAATAGGGAAAATACAAAGGGGCTGGAAGGAATATCTGTTCTTAATATTTTTATAAATTCAAAACATTCGCAATTTGTTTGCTCGATTTAACAATTTGCTTTTTACAATGCAGGTTTATACGGTTATTAGGTTTGAATAACATTAGAACAACTTACCATTCAAAATGACTACAAAAGAAATGTTAACATTGTGAAATCTGGGTTAAAGTAAGTAAAAGTAGGAATATTTCCAGAAAGATCAGCAAGATTCCCGTTTATTTTTGTAATGCATCTCTAGCTGCTGGTGTGTCAATAGAAGTTCACACGCTTAATAAAAAATTTCGTCCTCGGCTGGATTTGCCTTCGATGCATACAAGCTTTGAAATTCACAGCAGCTAATCCAGTCTGGATACGTAACTTTGATCATGGTCGTTAATAGATTACTGGTAAAGTACACTGTGTGGAAAAACTTTAAAAAAAGGGGGGGACAGTTCTGCATTTCTGTTCTACTGGGCAGAAATTGAAATTGCGTTTTTCATGTCTCGAAAGCCCGACTTAGGATATATATTACATTTATATATAGCAAATAAAGCAAACTTTAATATAGGTATTTTGACTTTTTCTGAAATGACATGCCAATATTCCATATTTTGATTTTACGATTCAAATTATGCCAAACTGCCAAGTTTTGTTAAAATCGCACGCGTACTTTTTTAAAAATTAGCTCTCAAAATTTTAGCTCTTATTGTTAATTAAATTTGGTATATTATTGTTAATATCTCTTTTATTTTATTAAACTTATTCTTCCTTTCACATTTTGAAATTTAGGTTCATTCCAAATAAAATTCGCCCATTTATTATGATTTAGTTTCAAAATTTGTATTTTTAGATAATTTTTATAAAATTTTTTAAAACAGTTTTGAATTATAACCTATAAAAATGTTTATCATCATTTTAAAGCAGATGTATTAAAGCAGACCTACAAAAGATTAAGAGTTTTTTATTCAAAATTTCGTAAGATATAGTACGTGAATTTACATATTGGCGCGTTTTGAAATTTAGCATCTTTTTTTTTTTTAGAGATAATTACGCCAAATACGGTTTACGCACTTTGCTAAAATTATTTAAAAGTATGAACGATGACCTTTTTTTCTGCTCGTCTACAATGCAAAGAAAGGAAAGGAAAATAGGTTACTAAAAATTAAGGAGTTCGCCTAGTAAATTATTCTTGGTGCAAAAAAAATGCGACAGGTAAACTTGAATTTCTCTGTAAATTCCACACCAAATTTTACAAAATTTAATATTTAGGCATAATTTGAGTCGTTGAGTCAAATTATGGAAAAAACTTTGGCATGTCATTTCAGAAAAAGTCCGATTTTGTGTCAAAATACTTATATTATCACAACTGCTATATATAAATACTAAGTCGGGCTTTCGAGGCATGGAAAACGCAGTTTGAATTTCGTCAATCGGCCCAGTAGAACGAAAAATATAAAACTGCCCCCTCCCTTTTTTTTTTGTGCAGTGTACTTGCTCCAATACGCAAAGTGAAAACTTCTTGAAGTGTACAGAATCGGCATGTAGACCAGCTCTGATACTGCACCAGATCAAGTATAGAGATACCGAATAAATTTCCTGCTTCTTCGTAATCTATTTCTCCTTCACAGTACTTCAAAGGAAATATTGATTCTCGACTGCTTTCGCCATGGTACACATAGTGATCAAATGATTCCCTTTCTGATCCAGCAGCATTTTCAACACAAGGTGATATGTAGATTCTTGCAAGTAATTATCAATCCTGATCTTTCAATGTGTTCGCAGTAAAGTGACCAGTAGCCTTATGTAACACCATTTGTTGAGATTATTTAGTCATATGCAAGCCCATACAATTGAGTTTCTGAACCAATAAATTACTGAAGATTTTTCTTTCTTAAGCGTGAAGAAAATGTTGTTAATGGATCTAATTACAATGTTGACTAGCAGATAGCACCAGCATCACATCTTATTAAACGCAATATTTTCTTTCAGACAAGTTACTGTAAACCAAACTTTTCACTTAGCCTCAAGTGTCAGATTCCAAATAATAACTACTCTAAACTTCATAGTTATAACAAGCTACAAACCATCGACTTTTTTGCATATATATTATTAAAGAGAAATTACCATTACTTATTAATCCACGGCACACCAGCGGCAAAGTCGGTGAACATTGGTAGTTCGACCTGGGTTCGATTCCAGGCGAAAGGGTTGGCTGCATGGACGTTCTCGAGGTTTTCTCCATGTGTAAAGTGAATGCGAGCTAGTTTTCCTTAGAAAGTCCTACACGGAGACATTCCTGCTCTTAGGCAGATAGCCCTAATGTGCTTTGCCATAATCAAAGAAACCTTTATTAATCAACGGCCACAGGAATAAGACCAGTCAACGGTGATAATTTGAAACAGGTGAAAGGAGTAACTGTATGGGCATTTTCATGGTTCTCATCAAATATAATGAGAGTACAAGCCAATTTTCCTTGTAATCCTCCACGAAAATATCTATTTCCTTAGGCAGATTGTCCTTGTGTGTTCAGTCATATTAAAATAATATAATCCCCATAAGTATTTCTGTTTCATTCTCTTAGAAATGGTTTACATCCTGTTCACAGAATCCTTAATAGGTAACAGAGAAGATGCATCATTAACCAATAGTTTCCTTTTAATGACTATAGAATTGCTCTATTAATTTGTTTTCTGCGATAAATCTTATAAATTAATTCACTTATTCTTAAATAATTTTTGTATACTGAAGTCGCTCTCATAGTGCTATTATTTAAATTTTTATTTATTTAAAGATTTATTTCAGGAAATAAAAATTTACCCTATAAACAGTCTTTTTAAACACCACAGTTAATTTGATTATTGCAGAGTCTTGAAACTACAGTGTATCAATTGCTGATGCATGCATTCAATTGCTTGTAACATTGCATAAAGAATATTATGCATTTGTTTGGGAATATCGCAGAGACATCGCTCAAAAGCACAGCACTATCTTCAGCAATGATAATATTCTTGAAATTCCATTTTGCTTTTAACTGTCTCTACTAAAAAAAAGCCAACAGTCTTCCACACAAATTTTATATTATAACTTCATCATAAGAGGGGAACCTAGTTTTAATTATTAAAATCTAGCCCAAACATATTACAAAAATGAATCATGTATTTCAATTCCACTGACCTAGATTCAAATAAAATTAAACATTAAGAGTTCGCCATGCCCCTACTGAAGCACATCATGTCTGTGTTTTGTTCATAATGTAAAGTTATAAATAAAGACAGACATTTTGAAATACAGCTAACATACTAATTTTATTTCTTTTCTGACTAGTATCTTTCATAGAGTTACAGGACTGTACAAGTGCAGATTGTGCAACATACCCTCAACAAACTAGAATTATGTGCACAATCTCTAACAACCAGCAACTATTTTTCCAGTTGAAGTTCTCATTTTTGTACAGAGAGACACTACCTTAAGGTATATTTTTTGGTCAGTTGTACATATTAGACTAAGTTACAACAGTAGATGAAAATACAAATAACTAGATTCCTACAAATGAGGTATTGACTTGGAAGTAGTACTCTTAAAGAAACAGACTTTTGTGGAGGTAAAGAAACCAACTTTATAACATACTGTGTATATGTAATAAATATATATACATAGATATTATGATTTTGAAGTAACACTATTATATAAATTTTTCAAATTAGCACAAAAGCCTTGGTCATTCTTGGTCAATACAGTTGCTATGAACCTAAAGAAAATGTTTTTTAAGAATTGGTTTCTTTACACACATTATAGTCCGCATTTTATCACAACCATATTTTTAATTACAAAAGGAAAAAAAAATATTTTATGTTAAAACAAATCTTAAACTTTCGTAGTTCAATCTAAAGTTCATTCACTTCAAACATAAGCTTCAAATTATTTAGTTAACAGCGAACAATACAAAGCAATTTTTAATAATTTACAGAATAATAAATACCATTTTATACTAAAAGTGACAAAAACGAGAGTAAAATTATGCTTAATGTTTTCTTCTTTCACTTGAAACAAATTAACATCAAATTTAAAATGTTATATGAACTACTGAGTAAGAATGATGATGATGGCAATAAGTTTCACCATTGTCAATAAATTTAAAACATTTAGAAATTATGTCAGCATTGCAAACACCTGAAATTTTATGAGGCAAATTTATTTCATCCAAAAGAAAGAATGATCTTAATTGTCATTGTGTAAAATGTATACTTCACCAGTTTTACAATAAATATTGAATCAAATGTGCAGTTAGGAGAAAAGTAAAATCATGTTAAAAAAATTGAACATTTACTGCATGCATTTTAATTGGTATACAAAATATTAAAATGCATTTTTTACTTATATAACATTTATATTAATACATTTCTGTATTTAAAAATATTTAGAACAATTCAATATATTTTGGATAAGAACACAAGCATCTTTATATTCCCCTCCCTTAGATTTAAACTCTGCATTATATGACACTAGTGGCTATTTAAATTTGAAATTGTTCTGCTTTTTTAATGATGTATAACTTCTTCAAAAAAAATGATGCAGATTACTTTCAAGGCTTATTTCAAAACCTGAAAGAAAGATCAGTGTCAAGAATTAAGTTAAGCTACCAAAGCCAATGTCCCATTTGAGGGAATTAACAGTATGTGACTGCAAAACCAGACACCTTTCATTTTCTTTTTTAAAGAAAATATATATTATTTACAAAAAACAGTTAAAGCAACACCTATATTGATAAATTAGTTCACAGCTATGCCATTGTCACAAATTTCAACTCATGCATCAGAGTAGGCACAGTCCACACATCATTTTCCGTCTAATTCCCCCCATCAGAGAATGAAATATTCTGAAGAATCAGATACTGATGGGTATCTATAAAAAGGAGTGCACTTTTATATAACTTATTTTGCATATTAAGTTATTCTGAATGCTACATTAATCTGTCTTTACAATATTCCATTACATTTTATTTGCAGTTTACAACATACTTCAATTTTTATATTTTTCTCCTAATTTGTACCAGTACAAGTAATCTTAACAATACTCTGAAGTTTTAGAGATTCCCAAACACACTGATAGGTAAATGAACCCTAGAAATATAATTTGACTCACTTCATTTACAGAAAACAGCAAAATACACTCAAGGCATAGAAAAAAAACACAAGACTCTCTAGAAATATCAGTTCTATGCACAATGATCACAGACTCATGAAACTCTTTTACATACTACATAATGTCCATGCTGTTTTGTCAAAAGGCTAACTTTTATAGCAATGGATTCTATCACAACTGTTATATCCACATAGGAAATATCCACAAGTGCAATCCACCCCAGCCATCCATACAGAATAAGATAAAAAATACTTTTTCATTAAATAGAAGGGAAAGGTGCTCATACTACAATTTAAAAGAAGGGTATGACAAATTTTCAAAACCTCCAAACAAAACTGAAATAAAAATATATACACAAATTTGTAGAAACATCAAAAATATTAAATTTGAACTTCTACAAGAACTTGTATTATTTTCTGACATCATTCAAAAAGTTATATAAATTTGTTTTATTATAAATATTCAATTTCTGCACATCAGCGACTTTTTCTCAAATTTGGCATTATAAAGAAAAATATACTACATAAGTTATTAATGTTGTCAAAAGATATAAACAAAAACTGTCATTTATTTTCTAATGCACTCAGAAATTTAGAAAAAAAACTAACTCTAAAAGCAAAGTTTAATTTTGTGCACTTTTATTACCAGATATATGTATATATATATATACACACACATATATATATATATATGAAGGCACATCTGAAGAAATGTATATCATGCTAACAGAGTTCTTTACTTATCCAAAATTAAAATTTTCTGTAAAAACTGTTAAAGGCAGTTTAAAAATGAATAAATTACAGGTAAGGACAATTTCCACTACTGTACAATTTCAGATAATTTTAAATGAGTTTCTAGGCACTCACTACGCACTTGGGTTTGTTAAAATTGGAAGTCTTGTTATAAGTTTTTAATTTATACAGGAATCATGCTGCATGTGATTATAAACAGCATTATGGCCGTACACTACAAAACTTTTTCACAGTAGGTACATTTAATGAGAGGAGGTCTCACCAAAATAAATATCAACACTTTTGACAATCACATATTCATGCGCATTTTATAATACATGCATGATAAGCATGTCTTAGAATATTTTTATTTATCATAACTGCACTTAGCTCAAAATTCTGATGAAAAATAATATTTTTTGTTTCTATCTACAAAGCTGTGATTGTCACACATAATCTCACTGCATGGATGTTTTCCACTGCAATGAAATAGCATTCAGTAATTTTTATTACAATAAGGTGCAAAGCACGGTATGCAATCCACATAACAAACCACAATAAAATGTTCATAAATTATGTGAAATTTTTTAGAGTGATAACAAAACATTTTAACAAGCTCAACAAAAAAAGATGAATTTGTGACATCATTTGTAGCACAAAAAAAGTTAAATTTTAATTTCTGATAATGGAAAATACCTGCTTTATTTATATTACTTGTTTCACATGTGAAAAATAAGAAAAAGCTCATAAATGAATCCATTAGCAAATTTCACATAATTTACCCATTGTGGTGTTAGGTGACCTTTTTTCTAAACAAAAATTGCATTGCACCTTTGTCAAACTAGTATTACAACCTAAGTCAGTCACTACATTTTCATACATGCAGAATACTTGCTAAGAAGAAGTATCATGTTTTTATAACTAAACCTAGCTGCACAAAGATTATGCAGACAAAATGTACAGAGGAAAGTCTGCATGCAGGCTCATTCACTGATATTGTAAGGAATATTTACCTCTTCATCCCTTCTGGAAAATTAATTTGTAATATTCCCTTCCCCCAAAAATAAATACAAAAAATTTTTAAATGATTATTTTTTCTAAATATCAAACATATATACAAAGGTATGTGGATACACAGAATTAGTTACACAATGCTTATATATGCACAATCTTGCACATTATGACATTTTGCAATATAGAACAATCTTTCGTGGTAGTTAGCATAAATCACAGTTTTTCTAAGACTTGGAAATAATGCTAAACAAACAAACAAACAAACAAACAAAAAAAAAAAAAAAAAAAAAAACCTAATGTGCCATTTATATAAACCAGCTTAGGCTGTTCTCTTCTGCTACAATACACAGTCTCAAACTATGACATATTTTTAAACGAAATGATCATTATTGCTAGGCAACATGTTTTAATTGCACAACAAATTTAAAAATACCATTTAAATGTCAAATATTTTGCCAGCATGCAGACTTGTCCTAGCCAGTTGGTTTCAAATGTGCAAGTATTTGTGGATGGCCAGGGTGACAAACAAATATTTCTATTGAAACTTGAGGGGTGAGGAACCAAAATTAGGTGCCGGCGGAGTGCCATGGGAATACAAAGCAGAGTCCATAGCGCAAGAGCCGGAGCTAGAGTGGCTTCCAGAACTGGACCGGGAATGTAAGGCTAAGGAGATGGAGGAGGCAATCGATTGTGATGACTGCGAGTATGCTGGAGGCCTCTTGGAGTTCTCAGTGTTCTTCGATACGATGCAGTCTTTGATTGATTCTGCTGCATTGTCTTCCTCTATCACAGCTGTTGCAACTTCTTTTGTACTTGCTGCTGCATCTGCTTTGCTTTTATCCTCTGTTTCAGAGGTAGCATCCACATTATCTCCATAGAGTTTGAGAGCAACTGCAAGATCTCTAAGAATTTCTGTCTCTTTCTCATCTACGATGTTAAAGCGCTCATTGAAAAGGGTGAAGTGGCAGAACAGGGAATTTAAGTGAGCGTGCATATTTAAGAGCACAATCTCTTTAAAATGAATGTGATAAATGTGAGCCAAAACATGAAACAATAACCTCTGGATTTTCTTCACAATTGACTCGAAAGAACTAGGGAAGTCTCGATCTAGAAAAGAAAACTTAATAAGTATGCAATCCTAATTTAAATTAATGAACAACAAAAACTGCATAACTAGAATTATCATCGACAAGTTTGAGAAAAAAATAAAAACTCTAGCATTTACAACTGGATTGCACTTTAAAGACTACATATAAAATAGTGCCAGTTAGAACACTCATAATTTTTCTTTTGACACATTTCTCAACCTTTCACTTAATATTTCTCGTCTAACCATAGACATGTAAATTAGATACTTTTCAGTTTTCCACAGAATTAAAACATTACTTAGGTTTCAAATTATTATTATCCATTATTATCTTTTTTATTTTAATTTTGTTTTAGTTCGCATTATATAAATCCCTGAACATCAGAGGTGGCCAGGAAGACAGTCTTGGAAATGGACTAATCATACATTATGAAAACATAACATCACATTCAAATGTTAAAATATACCTACAAACCTTTGTTATGATCAGTAATTCATCCTAATTTAAGATCAAATGCATAAATATAATAAATTATCAAAAGAAATTACTATTAAAAAAAGACATCAATAGAAAAATTTTAATTCAGGACTTGTAGTGATAAAATCTTGTATAAAAATGTATAGCAAAAAAAGATTACAAAAGCTAGTAAAAATCCTTTTTAAATTCATCGATCAGATAAACAGCACAAAAATAATGAATAAACGTATAAAATAACATGCTGGTAAATTTTAAAAAAGTAATACAGAAAAAGTATTAATAAAATGAGAATATGTTTTAAATATACAATAAAATAGTTTATCACTTACTTCTTCACTCACTATTTAATTTTACATGGAAGCATATTCAAACATTTACAATAGAAACCTCAGTTTCAAAATTTTTTGTGAAGCTACATTTTATATATAAATGGTATATTTTTCAAGCAAATAATATTTAAAATGCAATGTAAGAAGCTTCACTTACCTTGAAGAGGGATTAAAAAAGTAATAATAAAACTCTAAAGGACTAAAAATATTTTCATACACAGTTTTATAGTATTTGATTATGCATAATGATATTTCATAACATTTTTTAATATGTTAGATATTTATTGCTTGCGCAGTGTGTTTCAATTCATACTCAGATAGTTTAAATAAAGAATTAAATGAAACAGAAAAAATTCTAGAGGAAATTTTCTGCAAAACACATTCTTGACTTTCATAAGCAGCTTTGCAACTAAATTTTCTGAAAGAGACTAAAAATTTGGCAGCATATCAAAGATTTGATTAGCATCATCATTATATACCAATGGTAGTTAACAAGTTTTTCACAACATATTAATGCTTAGTGTTTCTGATGTTAAAGCATCACTATATAGAAGACGTATTATTCTTCACAGCAAAGCAGACTGAAATAGTTAGTCAGAAAATCTGAAATAATATATGTTGAGAATTTTATTATTTAAAGATACAAGGAAACAGGAAAAATTCTAAGACACATAAATAAGCAATTTTGGGGAACTCTCAACTACAGTATGAAACATGGGAGACTGCAAAATACAGGAATGAAAGAACTGGGCTTTTAAACGCAACTGCAGTTCTTGCTGAACACTTTTCAACAGATGACCTCTCAGTGCCATCTTAATGTCAGACTTTCTTTTTCTTCTATACACAATAGCAAACTGCAGTCATCTTATTTTTGCAAATGTTTTACATTTGAACCATACAGCATATTTTAAAAAGAAAAGGGAGAAGAAACACAAATGGTTGCAAGGCAACCTTTAATCTGTTCAGGGCATATAACATTCAACTATTTTTCTTCCTATTTTGCTGATAATTAGTATTCTTTACTCATCCCCATTGATCTTCCTGTATCAATAAAATAGCCCTCTATTTCCTATTACTTCTTGCCTATGTTTGATACAAAGCTACCACCTAAGTTTTTCTTTTTTCTCTATTGCTGCAACTGTAGCAATTTAGCTATTGTTAGCTGTCATTAATTTGTGAAGTATTTCATTAGCTTCTTTTAATATTTTTATTTCTATAGTTGCAATGTTGAGGGCGAAAATAAGTCAAAAGCTAAAAGAAATAATCTTATTTTATTCAATTTAAAGGAAAATGCATATACACTTATTATTAATCCAAATGCTGCAATGTAACATTAAGCAATACATTGACACTCTTTATAAGAGCTTTAAACAAATTTCTTTCAAACTCAAAAGTTAAAGAAAAGAAGCAATCAGCTGAACCTTAACTAATCAGCAAGAAAGCATTTTCATCAAGTTAATTTCCTAGTCTGAAGAGCAACATTTCTTTTAATCGTCCACTTGTAACTAAAGGGAAAAAATTATAAATTAGGCATTATTAAAAACGTATCCACCAATAAATCAAGTATGGGCTAATTAACTATTTTTGCAAAAATATTCTTGACAGCTTTTTAACAAAGGACAAATTTCTAAAACTTCTACCTATAAAAGAATAAATGAATGTAGATTTATTTAATTTTCAAAAGATATGTAGAAGAAAATAATTCATCACTTTAAAAGTTGACAGCAATTAAACAAAAAGTGCACCAGGCATGAAAATAACACTATGAATTTTCAAAATGTAAATAAGCCCATTCATTTCCAAAAATTGTCATAGTGCTCATCATTCATCAGAAGTGTTAGGCACGAAAATGCTGCCTTTTTAACACATAAAATACAGACTGATGAAAATTAAAGAAATTCAACATTTGTTAAAATTAGTTATGAAAAGAATGGATTTGGAACTTCATAATAAGTTTGTTCACACAAAAGAGCTTAGTAAAAAAATATGAAGTACTCAACAAAATTTTTAAATTCTATAATCTCTTTTTTTTTTAACAAGAAACTATCATTTTGTTAAAATAATAACTTCAATAAATTCATTTGAAGCAGAACAAAGAAAATTTCATTTTATGGAAAACACTTTTTATTACATATCCCAATACTATTCAGTATTCTACCTATATTCATGTTTTAATTTCTCATTTTGTACAACATTTTGAGACACTGCTGGGAAAGATGAGTTTGCAGATTTCAGGAACATTATGAATCTAGAGCACTTTGCATAACTGCATTAACTTCTACAGGCAAGATGAACTTATTTGAACAGTCATTTATTTCTAAATCACTAACACAGAGATACCGAAAATTATAAGTACAAAACCTAATTTAAGATCATACCAGAATGATGAAATATTCTGAAATTTAGTCAGTGGAAACTGCTAACTCTCATTATGATAATATGATCAAATCTGAGAATTTCTTTTTCAGATTTGATTTTGAGGTCATTTTGAAAACCTCAGTATCCAAGCCCTGATGACAGCTTACCGGTTCTTGCTCAGTTACTGTTTAATAAATGAAAATCCTGACTATATTCCAGATTACAGTTTGTCAGCCAAAGGTATACAATTCTAAGTGTCACATTAATATTTCTTAATGCAAGCTCAAGTTCAAATCTAAATGTGAATATTTCAAATACTTAAACAGAATTCTGAACCGAACCGGACTTCAAGTAAATATGTTGAAGATGCTACTTAAACTTCCAAATCCTCCATGCCAAAAATTAAAATTACCTTCTCAGTATGGAGTTTTGTAATCAAGATGTATAAAAAGAATTTTCTATTTTTCAATTAACATTTGTTTCATTAAGCTCAAGCCATACAAAAGAGAATAGAAGAAGAAATGTGCATTAATAATTATTTCAGATCTCTCCTGTGTAGATTTTTGTCTTTCACAATATACACAATGTAGAGATTTTAAACAGCAGTCGTGATATGATATAAAGAAAACATAAATGCATGTATGCTTCAGAATGCTTTCTATTAATGTCAGTTGCAAGAGATAAAATAAATAATTGCTCTTGTATCATTAAAAAGGAGCCGGATTTGGTGCATATTTATACAGAGGGGGAGGATTACAGAATTTCAGGAATCTACAACACAAACAAATTGGAAATGACGACCCAGATGCTGAGTTTTAAACAGTGATAGTTAAAAAAATGCACAGTTAAGGAAAATTGTTTAACCCATGAGAAAAGAACTGAAATGCAATACAAATTTCATATCCTAGCAGGCAAATGCAATTAAAAGTCTGTAATTAAAAGGCATAATTCCTTGTACTGTTACTTCATGATTTTGAATAGTACAAATATTCCAAATATTTATGAAAAATAAATGAAATGTGTAACAGTTCTATATAATTGTATACCTACCAAATTTTGTAGGAAAAATTGATTCATCATACAAAGTTCTTTGAGTAAAAGTCATGACACAATCAATATACTGAGGTGCAGCAACTTTACATTTCTTCCCTTTTTCATCAAACCATAAATATTGCCTGAAAAAAAAATATGATTAAAAATATTACATGACAACAGTCTGTATAGAACTACAATGAATCAAGAGTAGTATATTCAGTATCTAGAATATGAGCGTAATCTTTAGTTATTTATAAAATACTTGAAAGCACTTTATTATTAACATAGAGCGAGATTAAATAAATGAACAGCAACTTTTGCAGGTTAAAAGAAAGCTCAATGAGAATTAATTCAATATCTTTTGTAAATATTATCACAAATAGGCAGGGTTAATTCAATAACAAGACAAGATGATGTATGAAAGAATAAAAATTAAGTGTAATATAATGAATAAACATAACAGTGAAACATAACAGTGAAAAGCTGTTTTAGTTTTCATCCGAGATGGAAAAAAAAAACTTGGGCATGGTAACAGCTATAAAATTATTTTAGATAGAATAAAATTATTGTCAATTTTCACAGCTGTGCCGAATCTTGTGGCAGAATATTTTTAATTTATTTTTTCAAATTATAAAAGTACAAACTTTACAGCATCAAAACAATATACACTCTATTCTAATTCAGCCTTTTTTTCAAAACTGTGTGTTATCGACACATATTTCTGATTAAAAAATGTTTTAAATGACACAAATATTCCTGTTTTGGCATTTTTAAATTAAAAAAAATAGTGAAACTGTGAAATTTAACTTTTTATACATTCTCCCAGTCTGTATACCCATTTAGGAAAATGTAATAGTCATGAAACAAAAACAGTATAGAAAATGATTCTATGCCCCCCCCCCGAAAAAAAATGCTTAAACCTGAACTTGATACACAGGCTGCACACAAACTGAAAAGCAAAGTGCTTGCATTACTTCTTAGCTAAAAATAAAATATCAGTTCATTACAAGATTTCTGATGGTAGTAGATTTAAGTGACAAACATTTATATGTGTATTACTATGAAAAGTATTTATCAATATAGTTTTCGCAAAACAATGAGATTTGATTCACATAATCTTACACAGAATTCTTGTTGTAGAAAATACTGGTAGGCTTCAGTATTGTCATACTGCCAACTAGTAAGCTAATTTGCATAAATTAAAATGTTAAAAATATTTCTAGTTCAATAAATTTTTATTGCATGGTTATTAGATAATGATTTTTGAAGTAGTAAAACATCTTGAAAATATTAGTAATGTATTTCTAACACAGTCTCTTCAAGGCAAATTGAAAATGTCACAAATTTCAAATTTTGAAATTAAATACCTTTTTCAGTTTCTGTCACATGAGGGTCAAAGTTCTTGGGTTTCATTTTTTGTAAAGAGGTTTTTTTGTTTTATTTTTATAAAGATCATTTTTATAAACATTTTCCTAAATATAAGAATTGAGGAAACCATTTACAGTATGAAATGTTAGATTTTGTATTATAAACAAATTTCTTTTAAATTTTGACCCTCTGGTGGATTAAAACACTCTTTCTACCTAAATACATATAATATCAGTCAGTAGTAGATTTATAATGCGAGGTGTGCTCATAACTGGAATGTGAGCTGATCTCATTGATTACCATCAAAATGTTAAAATACAAAAACATGAACCTTTGTTGCATTTCAAACATTTTTTATAATTGGAAGTATATTTCCCCAACCAATGGATGAGGGAATAAGGGCTATGTGAGGGCTTTTGTGGACATTATGTACATACTTCTTAAAAATTTTTATCTTTATTTCATTTGCATTAATAAATATATATGAATAATAAATATTTAAATTTAAACAAATTTAAATTTAATTTTTAACAAATATGTTAAGTAAAAAAAAGCAAATTAAATTCTAAAAAAGGAAAAAAGTCAGTTCAAAATTTTCAGAAAAGGTCAAAACTTTTTCCGCTAAAGTCCGCTCCCCTTTCAGTATCAAAACCTCTTAGTAAATGTAATTAACCACCATGAATTAGCTTTAGCCCATTGAACGTAAAGAGCTTCAATACAAAGATTTCATAGATAAATTTTCATCAATATTATATCAGGCAATTTAGCAATAGTTCAAAACCAACATTTAAGAATTTTAAGGAAAAAAGTACCAAATTTAGACCGACTAAAATTAACAAACATCACAGTTAAAAGTTTTGTAAAAAAATGAGACGAATTTACAGTTAAAACTAGTTCAAATTAAATATTCAATTCTACCTTTTGGCTGGAAACAGCAGTATTATAAGAATCAAGCAAAAAATTCGATAAATTGAATTTAATAGCAATTACAGTGAAATTTCTCATCCTCTTTTACAGGATTTAACAAAGTTCATATTACCAAAATTGCCGTCAATAATAATTTAGCATATGAAAAATTTTTATGTATCATTAATTAATACTGAACTAATAATGCCATTACTTACAACTCCCAATCTACAAGAATGTGATTGCAAAAAGCTAAAAGCATTCATCGAAACTGCAAATTCACAACCCAATAGATTAGCAAATCTATATGCTCTCCAAAACTTCATAAATCACTCAAATTTAGATTTATTGCTATGGTACAAATAATTAAAAGAATATTATTACATATTTGCAATTATATAAAAAAATCTGTAATTTAATCCAACATTCATAACAAACATTATAGTTGGATTATATAATAACGCTCCAGTTCTCAACAAATTTAAAAGTTTAGAAATCAGAAACATTAACTGCTATGACTTTGAAAACTTTTATACTTCTCTATCATTGTACTATAATTTATACTAGTTTAATACAACTCCCACAACGTTTACCTGGCATGCTAAGCATCTTCTGAATTGAAAGATGGAAAACGTACCTCCAGTGTGCATTAAATAATAACTACATTAAATTCAATAATAAGATCTTTCAGCAGGTAAAATAAATTCTAGTGGGAGCGAAAAGTTCTACACAAATTTGTAACTATTTCTTTTTACTTTTGAATATAAATTCCAACTAAGTTTAAATAAAAAGAATTAAAGCTATTTGCTCATACTTTTAGATACATAGATGATATTATACTTTCAATAATATTCTACTTGGCAATTCAAAATTACCAATAAACGAAACGAATCAAGATACGAATTCCTAGACCTGAAATTATTAAACCCGCAAAATTAAATTTTGATTAAAAGAAGGAATTCTATTTCCTACTATTAATAATTAATTGGAACTAAGATCTCTAGAAAAGTAATAGAAAACCGTTTCAGCCAAATTATCAGAATAAAAACTATGTACTGAAATAGACGATTTAAAGGAAAAAAAATAAGCTAATTAATGTACAGTTGAAACCAAGTACCCCACTTTATAATTATATATAAAAAGGCGGCCTTGGACTTTACTTTTATTTTTTGGCTTTTTAATAACATACCTTAAAC